ATTTTAACCTGAAACTGTTTCTGTTAATTTTTGTAGAGTGATTTAGGAAATAAATAATATAAAATTTTATTGTTTATTTTTTATTTGTTTAGAGACAGTGTCTTACTCTTTTGCCCCGGCTGGAGTGCAGTGGTGCAATCATAGCTCACTGTAGCCTTGTACTCCTGGGCACAGGGGATTTTCCAGCCTCAGTCTCCTGAGTAGCTTGGACTACAGGTGTGTGCCACTGTGACTGGCTAATTTTTAGTTTTTTTGTAGAGACAGAGTCTGCTATGTTCACTACTCTGTTTAGATTTTTATGTAGTATATAATTTTTTCCTCTTGCTCTATAAATATGGTTGGTACCAATTTGTATAGTGTTGCAAAGTCATTAAACTCATACCTGTTAAAGAAAATAAAAAATTACTTAAGAATAGACATCTTGATTGTAGTTTAGAAGAGGCATCATTAATAGTATTAGGCATCAGAAGATGATTTTCTGAAAAGGAAACATAATATCATTGAATGCTCATATGTTCAGATTTTTTTGCTGGTTTCATGCAGTCCACATAGGTGAGAGTAGATAAATCTAGCTAAATTATTATTATTATTATTTTGAGACAAGAGTCTCACTGTGTCAGTGAGTGCAGTGGCGTGATCTCGGCTCATTGCAACCTCCACCTTCTGGGCTGAAGTGATTCTCCCACCTCAGCCTCTGAGTAGCTGGGACTACATGTGTGCACTCCATGCCTGGTTAATTTCTTTTGGTATTTGTAGTAGAGACAGGGTTTCACCATTTTGGCCAGGCTGGTCTTGAACTCCTGACCTCAGGAGATCCATCTACCTTGGCCTCGCAAAATGCTGGGATTACAGGCATGAGCCATGGCACCCGGCCTAGCTTAATGATACTTTGTTTACACATAGTTGATAAAATGTAGCCCACTGTGGCCCAGCTGTTGGAGGGCTGATTGTCAGGGATATAGAGCTAGGTCTAGATGTCCTGTAGCCAGATCCAGTCTCTCCATGTTTACGATACTCAGAGATGTGAAAGCTTTATGATGACATTGTTGTACTGTCATGGGGGCAAAAGTCATCTGTATTTCTCAAGTGGAAGCTCACGCCAGTTATAATGCTGCTCTCAAACCTAACAAAAGTATGCTAGGAGGGCTTGGTATGTTTTCAAAGAATGTATTTCTGTGTTTATCATTATATTCAGATAATCCCATAATATACCTATTTTAGAATGCATTTATACATTTAAGATTTATTGTTTTATTTTAGTTACTTGATATTTGAGTAATTCTGGGTAAAAAAGACCAAGTTGACGAGATAAAAGACTGATAGATGATGTCTCTTAGCAGATTTCAAAGAGTACAGATAAGAGGTTTAATTTTCTGGTGGGAAGTGTCTTAACTTTGTATTAAGGCTTTATTCCTTTTAAAGTAGTTTACACGTGTTACTTAATTCTTATAATAACTATATGATAACCATCTCTAATTTGGAGCAGAGTAAACTGGGGTTACTAATTTATTGCTTACTTCAAGAATTTTTATTTCAGTGTTTTCTTTAACACATGTAACCTCTATGCTAACTTTATATACATGCTTATTTTGAAGAGGACTATGGTTTTATACAGTTGCTTTTTAGTTATATTTTTATCAGAAAAGTAACACAAATAGCATGTTTTAGTCAAGGACAATGGGTATATATGTATGCATGTAGTGCACATATTTTCAAGTATTTATAGAGTGTAAAAGTGTAATAGTAGCTCTGTATAGTAACATTCATTGTATGCTTTTTAACCTTTCTAAGATTTCATTCCTGTACAAATGAGCTCTATGAAATTATTATGGCCAAAATACCGATGTTTATCTTTCACCTAATTTATCTGCACTTCATAAAAATGCTTAACTATTACTTCATCATCCTTAAATGTGCTTTGCAGTATGTGAAGTCTGTGAACTAATTCTTGAATATTTATGAAGTAATCCTGATTTTTTTCAGGTGTTACAGGCTCTTAGGAACATTTAACTTAATTTGGAACAGGTTTCTCTATTTTTTTCATGATTTTTCATTTTTGAAAACCAAGAAACAGTAAATCCATCTATGTATAGTCCAGTTATACTGACATCAGTTTTTGTGTTTTTCTACAGGAGTTTGGTTAGGCATAAGAGTTCTCATGATTCACAATATCCTGGTTGAAATGTTAGGAAAATTGCTTTACAGAGAATGCATATCATTGTGTGTCACCTCTATAAAATTCTATTTTACAGAATGCTTGAGTAGTATCAGCAGTACTTGCAGTTTATAAAAAAGAGCTAATGAAAAATACTCTTAAGAGAGTAGATTGTAAGCATTCTCACCAGAAATAAATGATTATGTGAGGTAATGTATACACTAATTAGCTTGATTTTTGCCATTCTACAATTTATGCCTATATCAAAATGTCATGCTACATACCATAAATATATATAATCTTTATTAATTAAAATAACTAAAATGTAAAAAAGAGACATAACTTTCCCTCAAAGGTTAGATGGTAGAATAGGATGAAAGTCACAATTTGATTATTTACCAGAAGCAATTATCCTTATCTGGTAGGCCTGACGAAGACAATCACTTTACATTATGCCTTACTTGGGCTAGGGAACAAAGTATGTAAAAATTTCCCGAATTTTATAACAAAGAGTAAGGGCAAAATGTACTGGCATATGTCTCTCAATAAAAACTCAGTATTTCAAAAAATAATCTTAAAAGAATACTCTTTCTTGACTTTTTTGTTATTGTTGAGGAAAGTTACTTTACAGTTCATTTATTTGTATAAGATTTGTTTGTTTTTTGAAGTGAAAGATCAGTATTTAAAAATATACATACCAAATCCATGTAGTATAATAGTGGTGATATGCTGTCAGTTGACAGTTGAGCAAGATAGAACTTAAATCTTTTATACTGGTATAATGTTTGCTGTAGGTAGTTTTAAGTTTCTCCTTCAGCAGATGTGTGCCTATAAGTAGTTTACTTCAGAATGAATGGAGCAGATATTTGGTGGATAATGATCCCCTGGGGTGGGATGCTGTTAGATCATCAGCATAATGTGGAAGTTTGTTAGATGTACAGCCTTGGATAGTTTCCAGATTGTTCCATCAGAATTTGCATTTAAACAAGTTCTCCTGATGATCTGTGTGCACATTAAAATTTGAGAAGCCTTCCTAAAGAAGACATCAAACTTGGCATCTGGGGAACTAACACTTTTGTACCCAAGATTGCAAGGATATACAGATTTAGAAACTATTCATTAGAATTTTAAAACAAATATTCTCCTTAAAAGTATATTTCTCTTTAAGATTACCCATCTTTTCTGGAGTAAAACGTCTTTAATACATTTCTGTACTGCTGTTCTTAATCTTACCTATCAGAGAAGATAAACTTTGCTTTGTCCAACCTGAATGAACAAGTCTGGTTATTGCTAAGTGTTCCCTAAGATAGCGACAGCATCTGGATTTGCAGGAAGTCAAAGCTTGCGAAATGGTGGTACAATACTGGCCCTGACATTGGAGTGGCATGGCATGTTATTCACTGTTGGGCATGTTTTGTAACACCAAGGATACAGACATCCTGTATCCTAATTAAAAAATAAGTATGTCCTGAGTGTCTGTTACATTCAGTATGATATGGAGTGGATCAAACCTTTTCTCAAGGAGTTTATGGTCAGGCTAGGAAGTATTCTTGAAGGGTACCTGCCTTGAGCAGAACTATGGCATTCTGATATATGACCATGTGGCTCCATGGCTAGACAGACTTTCTCCAGCTGTGGTTAAAAGAGGGATTAGTAATATAGCATTCATTTCAGGCAGTTAAACATTTCCTATCAAAGTAAGTACCGTCATAGGGTATCAATATACTTAAGGGAAGTTCGAATTTAGAAAAAGAAATATAAATTCTAGATGTAAATACCTTTTCCTAATAGACTTAATGTAAAATTTTGTTGTGGCACGCTCTACTTCTGAATTTTCCAGTTTGCTTTAGGGAAAAATCTCTTGTTTGAATTCTGCTTCCAATATTTAGAAACTCTTCAGTGTTGCTCAGCTTCAGAGATGACCCTAGGAACTCGTTGTCTTTTCTGGTGATGGCCTTAGTGTGCCATTTTGCTTCTTAGGGATCCCTCAGTACCAACCAAGTCCTGCTCAGTAGTGTGAGCAGGACGCTTCTTTTTAATATATACGACTTTTTTCCCTTGATTTTTTTTTTTCTTGCCTCACTTCATCATTATTTCTATCCAGTAGTGTAGTGTTTGTCTCTCTTGCATAGGTGACCCAGAAACTTTGGAGGTAGGAGACAGCTGATCACAATCACTAAATGTCACTAAGTGCTTTAAACATGTGGAACCTGGGACAAAACATCAAACCACAAAGATTCTTTCTAAGAACACTTTTCTGCCATACAATTGCAAGTATATTACTGATATAGGAGAGAGGGGAGCTTGCCAAAATGTTCCTCACAAACAAGGAATTGTGAGAGAAAAATGACAGTGTGGTATACTTCAAGACTGTAAATGCCATTTTATTCATTTATCGTGTGGATTGTATTTCTATGAGATGCTTGTATAGAATACTTAAAGATATACTAACAAGGGTATTTATTGGCTCATTTATGCCACAGATCTTTTCCTCTACACATTCTCAAACATGAACGTAATTCTTGAGAATGAAGAGACGCTGTTGTATACTGAAATTTATATTAAATCGTGATATTCCTCCATTAAAAAGATACTGTAACCTTATTATTAGAGAAAAGCAGCAGGACACCTTTTGTTCGGAATTTTTGGTGTAAAGTACAATTGGATTTAAATAGAATTTAAATGGCAACTTGATAATAGATAATTTTAGCAGATTTCTCAATGTTCCACTTAAAGATTAGTTTAGATTTTGTCTTGTCATGGTTATACAGAAAAGTGCTATGTAGTCATATCAGATTGTCCCACGCCATGCCTAGTGAATACTTGTGCCACTTTTGCTCTGCAGGAAAATGACTCAGGCACTTTGGACACAGTGGGCGCTGTGGTTGTGGACCATGAAGGGAATGTTGCTGCTGCTGTCTCCAGTGGGGGCTTGGCCTTGAAACATCCAGGGAGAGTTGGGCAGGTAAGTAATTATGGGTTTTTTAAACTAACCTTTCAGCGTAAAGCATGGAATTTTTAGCTCACAGTTTTTTAACCAGTAGGAACGTTTTTTTTTTCCTTTTTTTTTTTTTTTAGAAAAAATGGATATCATTATTTTTTAACATCTAGTATAAATCATCAAACAAATACCCTTTTAAGATTCTTTTTAAGAAAACCTATCTCATAGTAATTGGTTTGTTTCTCATCTTTACAATTAGTGATCCTAGTTTTGCTACTTTCAGCAGGCTGGGCACTGGCCTGGGCATTTAGTAGGTATTTAATAAATGTGTGCTGGTCTCCATTTTCTCTCTGTAAATATCACTGTTTGGAACAAATTCTACTTGATTATATTGCTTGCTTTTTAGTTGGAGAAATGATTTCGGAGTTACATTTTTAATTTCCTCTATTCCATGTATAATGACCTTTGGCCCTTTACATCCCTCCTCTAATCAAGCATTTCAGCCATTTTATAAAATAACGTGGTCACCAACACATGATACCACTTAAAAAAATCTAGAAATGAAGATGGTCTAATTTATGTAAAAATTTGCCTGTCCCCAGCTCACTTGCACATCTTCTTCACTTTGCCCCTCCGTCCCCCATCTCCAATCTTTAGTTTTATACTGAGAATGAAATTTAACATTCCATTTGATCTAGGAAGCTTTCTGAGGATAAACCAACTTTGGCACATTACTTCATAATGTGAGCTTCATAAATATTTGTGAAGTGAACAAATGGATATTCTCATGGAGTAGTTGCAAGGGTTCATTTAAACTCAGTATTTGGGTGGCATCTTGTAGATGGAGTATGTCTTGGTATGCTTTGTGTACTTTGTCACATATGAAGAAGAGTCACTGTCACAATTACTTCGTTCATGATGGTGAGCAACTATTTGAAGCAGAGAGATCTAATTCATGGAGGGTATCACTATACACCACTAAGTGATGTTGCTTGATCTCCTCTAAGCTGCTTACATTCCTAGACTAGGAAAAAGGGGAAGGGAAGAATAATTAGTTTTGTGCTACTCTGTCTAGTGTACAAGGGGCTGTGTAGGGAACGATTACTCAACATGTGTATAATGCTTTGAACTCATTGTAAATGCCTTTGTCTGGTCGTGGTATTTTTCTACATTATAAAGTCCTGTGCATTTGTCAAGTTTGCAATAAGAAAATCAAGCTCGGCATATCAGATGCGGACACCCTAGTAGAGAAGGTGAGAGAAAAGCCAGCAGAGTCACCCTCGGTGCATTATAGTCCCCATGACTTTGTCACTGTTTTCTGTTTGTTTTAGTTAGCCAAATAACAAAAACGGAACAAGGATAGTTCTGGACTGTGTTAGCAGGATATTACATCTAACAGTCATGAAGCCATTGTGCCCCTGCACATAGAACTGTCCTAACAAAAGAAATACTTCTGTAAAAGTAATGTGTTGATTTACCTCACTTGGCTAGTTTATGAATACACAGCTTCTGGAGTTAGAAAATCAGGAAAGAATGTGGAAGAAAGGAGTCAAAGGGCTATTGGAAAATGCAGTTGCTTAACTGGATTATATTGCTTGGATAGAGGAGATGTATAAACCTGAAATTATGTAAGTTTCAGATGAAAATTAAAGAACAATTCTTTTTTCACAGGTCCAAATGAAACAAAATACAAAAACAAATTATATCAAAGGCTAATTATTTTTTAAGTGTGCTGAAACTAGATACTTTTAATGTATTTTAAATGTACAATTAACTATTTAAAAATTTTAGCATATTACCCTGCTATAGATATGTGAATGGCAATTTGAGGCCAGGTGCGGTGGCTCACGCCTGTAATTTTGGGAGGCCGAGGCGGGCAGATCACTTGAGGTCAGGTCAGTTTGACACCAGCCTGGCCAACATGATGAAACCCTGTAGAGAAATAGAGAGGGTGAGCGGAAAGCCGGCACAGTCACCTTTCATGCATTATAGTCCTCATGACTTTCTCAATATTTTCTGTAATCCCAGCACTTTGGCTCATGCCGTCTCTACTAAAAATACAAAAATTAGGCCAGGTGCAGTGGCTCATGCCTGTAATCCCAGCAGTCTGGGAGGCCAGGGTGGGTAGATCACTTGAGGTCATCAGGAGTTCAAGACCAGGCTGGTCAACATGGCAAAATCCCATCTCTACTGAAAATACAAAAGTTAGCTGGGCCTGGTGGTGCAAGCCTATAATCCCAGCTACTCAGATTGCTGAGGTAGGAAAATCGTTTGAACCCAGGAGGTGGAGGTTGCAGTTACCTGAGATCTCGCTACTGTACTCCAGTGTGGGTAACAGAGTGAGACCCTGTCTCAAAAAACAACAAAACAAAAATTAGCTGAGCATGATGGCTGACACCTGTAATCCCAGCTACCTGGGGAGGCTGAGGCAGTAGAATCACTTGAATCTGGGAGGTGGAGGTTGCAGTGAGCTGAACATGCCACTGCACTCCAGCCTGGTGACAGAGCAAGACTGTCTCCAAAAAAAAGAAAAGAAATGGTAATTGGAATTAGGACTTATTTGCTTCTTTAGCTTACTGTAATAATTAGAATTTACAATTTGGACATGAGAAAGGAATTATTCTATTTTGCTTATTCCCCTAAACTTCACCCCACCCCCACACAAATAGGCGGTTGAGTTTACTGATTAAGTGTGGACCTTTGATTGACGTAAACCTCTCTTCTAATCCCACCTCCCCACATTGCATTCCCCTTACTTTGAACAAGTTACGTAACATCTTTAGGCTCCACTTTCCACCTCTGTAAAATGGGGTTAACTAGCCACCTTACAATCATTATTAAACCAGGCTTTATTATATGAATATGATTTCTGTTGAGAATTAATAATTACATATGATATTTCTGAAATATTGTATCTTTTTTCCTTTTTCCCCAGGCTGCTCTTTATGGATGTGGCTGCTGGGCTGAAAATACTGGAGCTCACAATCCCTACTCCACAGCTGTGAGTACCTCAGGTATTTGCTGCTTTCATAACCATTTTTCATAACCTCAGCTTTTTCAACCATTTAATGATAAAAAGCAGTATTTGTAGGTAAACATAGAGCATGTGATATGATGGTGTATACACAAAAGCATGGATGTGGGAAAGATCTTCAGTATTTGGGAGGTTTTAAGGGTTGTTTAGTATCACAGTGTAAATGCTTTGCTAACATTTCCTTTTTCTTTTTCTTTCTTTCTTTTTTTTTTTTGTCAGAGTCTCACTTTGTCCCCAGGCTGGAGCAGTGGTGCGATCTCGGCTCACTGCAACTTCTGCCTCCCAGGTTCAAGTGATTCTCATGCTTCAGCCTTCCGAGTAGCTGGGATTACATGCGTGTGCCACCACACCTAGCTAATTTTTTATATTTTTACTAAAGACAGGGTTTTGCCATGTTGGCCAGGTTGTTCTTGAACTCCCGGCCTCAAGTGATCCACCCTCCTTGGCCTCTCAAAGTGCTGGGATTATAGGCATAAGCCACTGTGCCAGGCCCACTAACATTTTCAGTACACCTCTGGAATTAACTATGGTTAATTATATTTTTATAGGTACAAATTTTTTCTAATGATCCATGATGGTGCCAAACTTAGGTCACAAAAGACATAAAAGTAGCAGGCCATTTTGAAAATTAACAGATAATCTCTTGAGTTAAATGTTGACAGAAAACTTATAAGGTGCATTATCAAATATATAGTTTATGACATTCAGTTCTCGAACTCTGCTTTCAGTGTAATACAGGTCCTCTTTTTATGTCTTTATTATAAAGGCATTATCATTTAGTACTCTGTGTGTGCGTGTGTGTGTGTGTGTGTGTGTGTGTGTGTGTGTGCAGGGGATGGAGAATGGTGGACATGGAGAGTTTTCATAGGCAGAATGGTTATTGTCTATTTCCTGACTTTAATCCTGCCTTTGCCAGATGTACATGAAGCCTTTTCTCATTATGTGGTGATACCTCTGGTTGACAAAATAATATTGATTCATTCCTTTTTCATGTTATTCCTCAAGTTATAGTTCTATCCCTTTCTCTCTAAAAGCCTCAGGCTTTATCAGGAGAGTGGACAAAAATGGCTTCCTTTCCTACCTTTCTCTCTCTAATTTCTTACCACATTGGTTTCTGACCCACCACATTAACAAAGCACTCAGTCCAGTAGCCCTCTTGTCCTGCTTTCTGCGCTCTCTGATGCAGGTGACTTTTCTTTTTGCATGTAGCACAGATCCTGCAATTCTCTTGGTTTGTCTGCCTCTCTGACCCATTCCATCTTGGCCTTCTTCACAAATTCTCATTCCTTTGTCCTCCCATTGCCAACAGCCTCAGGATTGGGCCTGTGGTGAATTCTCTTCATCTCCCTGATGTGCTTTCTCCTGCTGATTTCTTATGACTCCTGGTGATCTCATGTTCTCTCTCGGGATTGGCTTCCATGTCTATATCTACCTTGGACTTTTGAGGCGCATGTGTGTCCTTTCTGACTTCCTGGTGAACATGTCCCTGAGTGCTGTGTATGCATATTAGACTCATCAGGTTCAACAGAACATTTTATTCTTCATCCCCACCCTGTGCCACCTTTCTCCTGTGTACCCTGTCTCTTTTATTGCTCTTACTCTCCTTTCCTTTGCTCAGACTTGAAATCTTGGCACCAGTCTCATATTTGTGGTCTCTTTCTTCTCTCCTGACTGTTCTTTCAGACTCATATTCCCATGCTTTCCTATCTTAGCAGCCTCCTGACCTAGCTCCATTTCTTGCGTCCATGGAAAAATATGGTTGTGAGCTATTGTCCTATGGAGAAACCTAAACATGAGTCAATGTTAATTGAATCCATACTAATAAAACTATCAAAAATTGCTTTTTATCATTAATTTTTGAAGAGATGAGCGTAATCTAATAATATGAGTTAATCTTTAATTTTAGTTTAATATTGGTGTCACATGAAAACTTAGATGCATAATGTTTACAAATTAGGCTGTGAACCTCATTTAGTATGGCCCTGTGTCTATAGAAAATGGTAGTATTCGAAAGACTAATTTATGGTTTCAATTTGATTTTCCCAAAGAAATCTCAGTTGGAATCATGTATTATAACAGTTTTGATTTGGTCAGTATGATGTTCAGTGAGATAGTTTGTTGTTTAGACATTACTTTCATATCTAGTTGTTAGAAGAATTGGATTCTATTTTAAACTGAGATCTTGAGAGCCTGCTTGCTTGTGTCAATTTGAAAAAGAGATTTCCAGGCCCAAAGAAATTGTTCACCACTCCCCTACAATTAGTTTAAAATTGGTGGTGTGCAAGTTGGAATAAGAACATACTTCATGGATTTGATTCTAGTGAGTAGAATGCAAGGAATGGGTAGGTAAAGTTGTAAAATTGAGATATTTCTCTATTCCTTTTGCATATGTCCTTCTTTGCCTTTCCTGCATCGGTTGGAGACAGTTTCATATGACTAAAGATACCTTTAGCTTTCCAGTTCATGACATCAGTGTAGCTTTTTAACTTAGATAGCCAGTTTGTCATGTTATGCTCTTTTCAAGCTACAAGACTACCTACCATCAGCCCACAGAACCTGGGGATGATAGAGTAAATCTGTCCATTGGACTTTGTGCGATTGCTTCACTCTTGTTTCTTATGGGCCTGTTGCTATGAAGTTGACAATGGAAGCACATGGCAGAGTTGGGGGATCAAGTCAGAAGAAAGGCAGAGCACTAAATTTTGCAACTGTCTGGCCAAAATAAAGAAGACTTGTGCCTCAGGCTGCCGCAGAAAAACCAGAGACCTGGCCTGCATTTTAGGTTTATACATCTTAGAAGGTGATAATTGAAAGGTGGAGAAAAAGTAGTTAGTTATGGTTAGGATAGGGTTCTCCCAAGGCCAGATGGTTGATTTGGTCCTTAGCCTGAGGGATAAACTCTAGCATCTTGTTCTCATCACTGGGTGGGGAGAAATGAGTAAGGGCTGGGGGACAGGGGTGGGGTAGCGGGAGTTGACCTTTCAAACTCTGACTAATGTTCTGGCATCATAGGAATTTGCCTAGCTAGTGATAGAGTAGAGCAGACACATGGGTTCCTGTCCAGACTCTTGCAGATCCACTAGCTATGGAGCCTGGGCAAGGGGTTATTTGTAAAACCGGAATAATCTCTACCATTACTGTGAGTGGTGAGTAAGTTGACATATAGAAGGCTCAGTGCATTTCTTGTCCCAGAGTAGCTGCTCAATACTCACTGTATTTCGTTGAACCTAAGTCATCATCTTTTATCAGATACAACATTATTTTTTTATCACCAAGGAAACAAAAGACTGTCAAAGTATAACACACTGACTTCTCATCACTTAATGCATGGTGGTTGCTTTACAGGAAAATATAGAATTAGGGGTGTTCCACCAGTGAGAAGCATTTGCTTCACTGATAACATAGTTATGCCTCTTTGCCATTTCCATGCCTTTCTATGTGTGCAGTCATTTTTAATTTGAATTCTATGTCATACTGTAATTCTTCTGAACACATCTTAAACAACAGTTTAACCAACACATGTAGTTCCAGCATGGCACATAACTGAAGGGTCAACAAATGCGAACAGCTTGCATCTAGAGGCAGTGGCAGCCTGGAGGATAACATGGGAGGATGCCATCAATTATAACACACCTCTTGAATCCAGAAGTTTAAAAATGTGAAAAAAGTATATTTTAGAACTGATAAATTATAGTAAAAGCTTTTCTTGAAAATAAATAATTTGTTTTCTAAAAACAAAATTATTTATTTTATTTGTTTTCAAAATAAAAAATTATTTTTATTTTTTGAAAATAAATAAACTCTTGAGGAAAGGAGGGCTGTGGGTATATTTGTGTTTCCTGAGTGCCTGGCACATAGCCTTGTACAGGGTAAGTGCCCAGTATACAAATAAAAATTAAGAAATGCGTGTTTGGGTCCTCCCTCTTTGAGAAGAATGCTTACTTTTTCAAACAGATTATTTACCATGGACTTTCTTTAAATAGTCTTTTAAAATATGATTCAATTTGCCAAATTTGAATTCACACATAATTTTTCAGTAACACATCAAATGCATAATGTAAGATATATCTGTGATCTGTCTCTGACTCTAGAAAGGAAGAGCAGATTGAAGATTAGAAGATCAGAAGGAGGGGGGGAAAAGGCAAGATTTTCTTTTTTTTTCCCCCTTTTTTCTTTTTTTAAAGACAGAGTCTCACTCTGTTGCCTAGGCTGGAGTGAGTGCAGTGGTGCAATCTTGGCTCACTATAACCTTGGACTCCTGAGTTCAAGTGATCTTCCTGCTCAGTCCCCCAAGTAGGTAGGACTACAGGTGTACACCATCACACCTGGCTAATTTTTAATTTTTTTGTAGAGACAGAGTCTTGCTGTGTTGCTCAGGCTGGTCTTGAACATCTGGGCTCAAGTGATCCTCCTAGCTTGGCCTCAAAAAGTGCTGGAAACAGTGAGTACAGGAGTATTGATGGCAGTTGACTAAGGTCAGAAGATGTAGGCTTCATTCCTTCTCCTTAAAGTGTTCTGGCATGAAGAAAGACCTGCTATCTTGTTTCTGCTATGAGGCCAAAGGATTTCTGATTTTCTTACTATTTTGCTTTTCAAGGTCTTGGCTCTGGGCATTTCTAGAAACCTGAGGGCCGAGAGGGTTGTGGTCCGGACTTGGTAGGAGTAGCTTTGAAGGTAGATTAAAAAAATGCACATATTGAGAACAGCCTTATGCCTCAGTATTTCTGAGCTAGTGATTAGTTTCTTCCTCAAGGGCTGGGAAAATATGCCGTTCCTTTTTGATTTTTCAACTTAGTGAACAGCCAGAAGTCTTCCTCTGCCCCTCTGTGGGAGATTGTCTACTGGACTGTGGTAGAAAACTTGTGCCCAGAGACCTTTGTCAGGAGGGCATGAGACAGCCTTCTCTGTGAGAGGGGAGTTATGTGACAGCAGGAGCCAGTGGGAGACAACTGCTGAGACATTTACAAATGCCATGTGGTC